AGAGGGTGCTGAGGTGCAGTGTGCAGGTGTGCAGTTGGCGAGTCACCAATCAGGAGCAGGCAGGCTGGGAAGGGTAGTTGGCTGGTTGATGACGAGCCGGCGTGGAGGGAGTGGAGTAGGGGGTGAGTCTTGGGTACGTTTTGCCTCCTAGTCAAAACGTTTTGTGCTACTGGGAGACGTATCTTGAAGGTAGCATCTTATTCTTGTGTATTATACGTAACTTCATGTAGAGAAGAGCAGGCTCAATCTCTTATTTTATTTTTATTTTATTTTATTTATATATATACAAGAAGGTACATTGGGTTTGTGAGAATACATTGGATAGTACAGTATTTACATTCTTGTAAAGCCACTAGTACGCGCAGTGTTTCGGGCAGGTCCTTAATCTAGCAGATAATTTTAAGTAGGTAATTTCTATCAGAATTGATAAATGATAAAGATGCATTGCAAGAGAAAAATGAGATGAGAGAGCTTAGTAAGTATATTAAAGCACATTTTTATGTTAAAGCTCTGATTGATTTCATTGACAGCTTGATTAGTAATTTAAACAAGATTAATAGACACCATACAGCAGATTGACAGCACATATAAGACAGCAATGATCACAATGGTGAAAATGTTCAGATTGGGTACATAAAGATTGGGAGACTGGGTAGCAAAAGATACAGATAAACAAGATTTATAAACACCATACAGCAGATTGGCAGCACATATAAGAAGACAGCAATGATCACAAAGGTAAAGATGTTCAAATTGGGAACATAAAGGTTGGGAGATTGGGTAGCAATAGATACAGTGCAATTTTAAGGCAAAAGTGAAAAACTATGAAGATGAAATTAGGTACTTTTTAGTATTGATTTTGAATGATGTAAAAGTTGGACAGCTTTTCAATTCAGTAGGGAGTGAGTTCCATAAACTGGGTCCCTTTATTTGCATAGAGTGTTTACACAGATTAAGTTTAACTCTGAGGATATCAAAGAGATATTTATTTCTGGTGTGGTGATAATGGGTCCTATTACATCTGTCCAGGAAGAATTTCAGACAAGGATTAGCATTTAAGAACAGGGTTTTGTAAATGTAGTTGACACAAGAGAATTTATGGAGTGAGATTATGTTTAGCATGTTTAGGGAGTTAAACAAGGGGGCTGTGTGTTGTCTGAAAGCAGAATTTGATATTATTCTGATAGCAGATTTTTGCTGGGTGATGATGGACTTGAGGTGGTTTGCAGTGGTTGAACCCCATGCACAGATACCATAGTTGAGATAGGGATAGATTAGTGCATAATATAGAGAGATGAGCGCAGAGTTAGGTACATAATATCTGATTTTGGAGAGTATACCAACTGTTTTAGAGACTTTCTTAGTTATGTGTTGTATGTGGGTACTGAAGTTGAGTCTTTTGTCTAGGAATAGACCAAGAAACTTTCCATCATTTTTATTGCTAATGTTTACATTGTCTATCTGAAGCTGAATTGCATTTGTAGATTTGCTTCCAAATAGGATGTAGTAGATCTTTTCTATGTTAAGTGTTAGTTTGTTAGTTGACATCCATAAGTGAACTTTTTTTAGTTCATTATTAACAACATCATTTAGTGTATGTGGGTTGGGGTTGGAGTAGATGAGGGTAGTATCATCAGCAAACAAAATAGGTTTCAGAATGTTAGAGACATTAGGCAGATCATTGATGTATATAAGAAATAGAAGAGGTCCTAGGATGCTGCCCTGTGGCACTCCAACGGTTATTGGTAGAATGGGAGAGGTTATATTATTGATGGCTACACATTGGTGTCTATTCCTAAGATAGTATTGGATATAGTCCAGTGCATGGCCTCGGATTCCATAATGATGGAGTTTACATAAGAGGTAATCGTGATTAACAGTATCAAAGGCCTTTCTCAGGTCAATGAAGAGTCCAATCGGAAATTCATTTTTGTCAAGGGCTGAGTAAATTATATCAAGGATACTAATAATTGCATCGTTGGTACTCTTTTGAGAGCGGAAGCCAAACTGACAGGGGCTAAGAATGTCGAATTTTACGAGATAGGAGTAGAGCTGTTTGTAGATAATTTTTTTCAAATATTTTTGATAGTATGGGTAGGTTCGATATTGGTCTATAGTTGTTTATGTCTGCCGGATTACTTCCTTTATGAACTGGCGTTACTCTTGCTTTTTTAAGGATATCAGGGAAGGCATGACACTCAAGGGATTTGTTGAACTGCAGAGCTATAGGTGGCGCAAGGGCATGGGAGGCGCTCTTGTATACGATGGATGGGATTTCACTGATGTTCCCAGCTTTGGTTTTTAGTGAGTGTATGATGGACACAACATCTGTCGGGCTGACTGGTGAAAGGAGAAGAGAGTTTGGATAACTGCCTGAGAGATATGTGTTGATATGTGTCTGAGTCTGTGGGATTTTACTTGCAAGGTTAGCACCAATCGATGAAAAGAAGCTATTAAATTCATTCGCCATTTCTAAGTCAGATGACGGTGTAAGGCCATCCTTAGAGAGTGTTATCTGGTTGTGGGAGTGTTGTTTAGTTCCTAGGATATTAGAGATGGTATTCCATATGCTTTTCATGTTGCCTTTTGCTTCTTTGAATCTAGTCTCATAATATGAAAGCTTTGCTTTTCTTATGATACTGGTAAGCACTGATGAGTACCTTTTAACTACTTCCTTTGAAACTAGGCCACTCCTAAATTTCTTTTCATATTCATGTTTTTTGTTGATTGATTTAATTATGCCACTTGTGAGCCACTGGTTATTTTTTCTTTTATCAGTTACTTGTTTGGTAAGGAGGGGACAGTGAGTGTTGTAGAGGCTTAGAGTTTTGGAGAGAAAGAGGTTAGTTGATGAGTTTATATCCTGTGAATTATTAAATTCAGATTCCCAGTTAATATTGTGAAGAGATTGAAAGAGATTGATTGAATCTCTTGAAAGAGATTATCGTCACAATATATATATATATATATATATATATATATATATATATATATATATATATATATATATATATATATATATATATATATGCGAACAAGCCTGAATGGTCCCCAGGACTATATGCGAATGAAAACTCACACCCCAGAAGTGACTCGAACCCATACTCCCAGAAGCAACGCAACTGGTAACTACAGGGCGCCTTAATCCGCTTGACCATCACGGCCGTCAAAAGGAAGTGATAGCCGAGGCTATTTGAGCCACTTCCCCGACGGCAACTCGGATGGTAATCTTGGGCATAGCATTTCACCAAATCACCTCATTCTTTGGGGCACACGTGAGGAACACAAATGCGAACAAGCCTGAATGGTCCCCAGGACTATATGCGAATGAAAACTCACACCCCAGAAGTGACTCGAACCCATACTCCCAGAAGCAACGCAACTGGTAACTACAGGGCGCCTTAATCCGCTTGACCATCACGGCCGTCAAAAGGAAGTGATAGCCGAGGCTATTTGAGCCACTTCCCCGACGGCAACTCGGATGGTAATCTTGGGCATAGCATTTCACCAAATCACCTCATTCTTTGGGGCACACGTGAGGAACACAAATGCGAACAAGCCTGAATGGTCCCCAGGACTATATGCGAATGAAAACTCACACCCCAGAAGTGACTCGAACCCATACTCCCAGATGCAACGCAACTGGTAACTACAGGGCGCCTTAATCCGCTTGACCATCACGGCCGTCAAAAGGAAGTGATAGCCGAGGCTATTTGAGCCACTTCCCCGACGGCAACTCGGATGGTAATCTTGGGCATAGCATTTCACCAAATCACCTCATTCTTTGGGGCACACGTGAGGAACACAAATGCGAACAAGCCTGAATGGTCCCCAGGACTATATGCGAATGAAAACTCACACCCCAGAAGTGACTCGAACCCATACTCCCAGAAGCAACGCAACTGGTAACTACAGGGCGCCTTAATCCGCTTGACCATCACGGCCGTCAAAAGGAAGTGATAGCCGAGGCTATTTGAGCCACTTCCCCGACGGCAACTCGGATGGTAATCTTGGGCATAGCATGTTCCTCACGTGTGCCCCAAAGAATGAGGTGATTTGGTGAAATGCTATGCCCAAGATTACCATCCGAGTTGCCGTCGGGGAAGTGGCTCAAATAGCCTCGGCTATCACTTCCTTTTGACGGCCGTGATGGTCAAGCGGATTAAGGCGCCCTGTAGTTACCATTTGCGTTGCTTCTGGGAGTATGGGTTCGAGTCACTTCTGGGGTGTGAGTTTTCATTCGCATATAGTCCTGGGGACCATTCAGGCTTGTTCGCATTTGTGTTCCTCACGTGTGCCCCAAAGAATGAGGTGATTTGGTGAAATGCTATGCCCAAGATTACCATCCGAGTTGCCGTCGGGGAAGTGGCTCAAATAGCCTCGGCTATCACTTCCTTTTGACGGCCGTGATGGTCAAGCGGATTAAGGCGCCCTGTAGTTACCAGTTGCGTTGCTTCTGGGAGTATGGGTTCGAGTCACTTCTGGGGTGTGAGTTTTCATTCGCATATAGTCTTGGGGACCATTCAGGCTTGTTCGCATTTGTGTTCCTCACGTGTGCCCCAAAGAATGAGGTGATTTGGTGAAATGCTATGCCCAAGATTACCATCCGAGTTGCCGTCGGGGAAGTGGCTCAAATAGCCTCGGCTATCACTTCCTTTTGACGGCCGTGATGGTCAAGCGGATTAAGGCGCCCTGTAGTTACCAGTTGCGTTGCTTCTGGGAGTATGGGTTCGAGTCACTTCTGGGGTGTGAGTTTTCATTTTCATATATATATATATATATATATATATATATATATATATATATATATATATATATATATATATATATATATATATATATATATAAACAACGGTACCTGACATCAGCGTAAATATTTATTTTTATTATTAAGATTAAGATCACACAGCAGAGTGCTGCTACCTTTTTTTTCTATATGAAGGATTATAAAGTTTAGATCAAAAGCTAGGTATGAGTTATCTAATATCCCCATCTCACAGGGAAGGGGGGCGGCGGAAGGACTGACGTCATGGAAATCGATGGCCGGTAACCTACTGGAGGACATGCAGGCAAGCAGCTAAGTTAGAATTCCTGTTGTCGGGGACATTAAGTATTTAATATCAATGTATAATATATATCAATATTAATATATCAATGATTTAGTCTTGTGAAATGTGGTTCAGTAGCTTAATTATTGCAATTAAAAAATAATTGAATTGCTGGTTGCTGATGTCATACTGTTATCTTTAGATACTGCCAGATCATTATAATTGCTTTATATGTTCAAAAACTCCACCTTACGGCAACCACTTGCAACTGGCTGTTCCAGCCGCTGCGTTAATCTCTCTATGTCCAAACTAACCACACTATTTATTTGTGATTCCATTGAAGGACATCTCGCTGCATATTGCCACAGTCCCAACTGTTGCATCGTTTGTCAGGAATACAGGATAGTTAAATTAATGTGTTTGACAGTTAATAAGTTGGCCGGAGTAATATATAATTTATGTTTATTGTTTTTCTGGCAACTCTTCGATGACAGACTACCTCTGCTTGATCTGCATTCTTGATGACTTCGTACGATTTCATAAAATTCCGTACTGTGTGTTATTGACAAAATTTAGTGAATATTATTCACTGAATCTTATATATTTATTAACAGTGCTTGTGGACGACTTGCAACTAATCTTCTTAAGACATAACATTAATATAAAAAGAAATCGACTTATTGCAAATAATGAAGGATAAAATTCATGTCAAAATTCAGGCAAAACGTTTGGGTGCGACTGTGAGCGTGGCGGCAGGGGGAACATGTACACTTCTTGACCAAGTCAGTTAATACAAGGGAAGTGTTTGTGTTAAATAGTGCGCCATTCCTCCCACCCGCCCAGTGAGTTAGTGACAGGCACCACGCCCTAGGTGCTCAAGAGGCAAGGAATCAAGTGCTAACTTGGTCTGTAGACCCCATCGATCATAGAAGTCAATTATAGTTGATACCTGGACGAGGTGAGTTGGTTTCTTCATTGCAATGCACCAGCACAAAGTTATTGTTCCAGCATTAAAGTTTACAAACCACATTTTTCCCCTTGTAGTTGTATCATGTTTTGAGAACATTTATCACGTCACTATCAAGTTAAATGGTTAAACTTTTAAAACAAAGAAAATATAAGATAGTATAGTATTATTTTAATGTAATTAGGAAGCGAGACCCAAATGAACAGTAAACTAACAAACAAAATAGTAATTTAACAAACAAAATAGTAAACTAACAAACAAAATAGTGAACTAACAAACAAAATAGTAAACTAACAAACAAAATAGTAAACTAACAAACAAAATAGTAAACTAACAAACAAAATAACGGGCATTTTATAGTGCACAGGTGAGTACACGAGGCGACGACTCCCGCCATGTTTATTTATTTATTTATTTGTATTGTTTTATTTATTTATATACAAGAAGGTACATTGGGTTTGTGAGAATACATAGCATGGTACAGTATTTACAGTCTTGTAAAGCCACTAATACGCGCAGCGTTTCGGGCAGGTCCTTAATCTAACAGATAATTTTAAGTAGGTAAATTCTATCAGAATTAATAAAATGATAACAAATACATTGCAAGAAAAAAAATGAGATGAGAGAGATTAGTAAGTATATTAAAGCACATTGGTATATTAAAGCTCTGATTGATTACATTGCTGCTCTGAAACTCTCCCTGGACAGATGTAATAGGATACATTATCACCACACCAGAAATAAATATCACTTTGATATCCCCAGAGTCAAACTTAATCTGTGTAAAAACTCTATGCAAATAAAGGGACGCAGTATATGGAACTCACTCTCTAATGTATTGAAAAGCTGTCCAACTTTTGCGTCATTCAAAAACAAAACTAAAAAGTACCTAATTTCATCTTCATAGTTTTTTACCTTGTTGCGTTAAAATTGCACTGTATCTATTACTACTCAATCTCCCAATCTTTATGTACCCAATCCGAACATCTTTACCATTGTGATCATTGCTGTCTTCTTATATGTGCTATCAATCTGGTGTATGGTGCCTAGTAATCTTGTTTAAATTACCAATCAAGCTGTCAATGCAATCAATCAGAGCTTTAATATACCAACGTGCTTTAATATACTTACTAATATATCTCATCTCATTTTTTTCTTGCAATGTATCTGTTATCAATTTATTAATTCTGCTAGAATTTACCTACTCAAAATTATCTGTTAGATTAAGGACCTGCCCGAAACGCTGCGCGTACTAGTGGCTTTACAAGATTGTAAATATTATGCTATGTATTCTCACAAACCCAATGTACCTTCTTGTATATAAATAAATAAATAAATAAATAAATAAATAAATAAATAAATAAATAAATAAATAAATAAATTATGTGTTGTGTATGGGTACTGACGCTGAGTCTTTTGTATTGTAAAGTATTGACCAAGAAACTTTCCACAGTTTTTATTGCTGATGTTAACATTGTCTATCTGAAGCTGAATTGCATATGTTGATTTGTTTCCAAATAAGGTGTTGTAGGTCTTTTCTATGTTTAGTGTGAGTTTTAAGGTTGACATCCATAAGAGGACTTTGTTTAATTCATTATTCACATCATTATTTATTATATGTGCGTTGGAGTCTGAGTAGATGAGAGTAGTATCATCAGCAAACAATATAAGTTTAAGAATGTTAGAGACATTAGGTAGATCATTGATGTATGTAAGACATCGGAGAGGTCCTAGGATGCTGCCCTGTGGTTCTCCTACAGTTAATGGTAGAATGGGAGAGGTTATATCATTGATGGCTATACATTGGTGTCATATTAGAAGACATATCACATTACACGTAAAAGAATTAGTCAAAGCACTTAATATTAAATATTTATAGTACACACAAATATTAGAAGCCAAATGTAAGCTATGCATATAAGTGAAATTACCCCGACGACCAAGCATAGAAAACGTAAATTTTGCAACTGTAACAGAAGCGACCATCCGACGCCATCAGAGAACGTCCAGACACCACCAAGTGACAACACGTACTCCAGCCGTCTGTTGTTGTTTAAGATTCGCTACTTAGAACAAAATGTTCCAAGTAGCACGGGCTAAGGCGAGCCCGTAGAACTCCAGCCTTCGTCGCCCCTCAGTCACCAACAACACTCCAGCCTCACTTAACCTTTAACAGTGACCCGCCTCAGTTAGTCTTCGTTCAGTTATCGTGGGGGTGGTAGAGATCACCTTCGCGCTTGCTGTTGTTGTTTTAGATTCAGCTACTCGACACAAAGAGTTCCAAGCAGCACGGGCTATGGTGAGCCCGGCGTACTCACCTGGCACAGGAGATGTGCCCGTCGTTGTTTTAGATTCAGCTACTCTGAACAAAAAGTTGATGAGCCTGCATTGTTATAAAGAAGTACTATATAGCAGATCCTATATATCCACCTCGCCGTAGAAATCTGCGCACATGATCAATACTCAAAATTCAGTGCTTGGCTTACACCTAAAACCCAAAATCCAATCCAATATTAAAAATTCCTCGGTTATAGTTGGGCATTGTTATATGTTGGTTATAATAAACTCTATATTCGTAAGTGATTCATATAAATCATTACAGATGTGATTGGAGTGAACAAAAGTACAGCCGTAAAAAAACTTGAAACTTTGAGAGCGGCGAGACGCATATCAGCATAATATATAGATTAATATAAGAATGATCGAAATACAATTTGAATGATAACTAAGATGAACTGATTACAGTACTTGTAATTAATTAATTTTATCGGGGGACAGGCAACCTAAGTATATATATACATTAGGTATATATGACGAGGTCCAACATGGTCGAGCTACAGACTCCCAGGATGACACCCCACAACAGTTAACTAACTCTCGGGTACCTTTTGCTGCTAGGTGAACAAAGGCATTACACCAACAGATTCAGGGACTATCGTGGATTAAAATCACTGAGAATTTATCATATATCTGATTTCAACATGGGATTAAAATGCTTGTCAACAATCCGTCTTTTTGTGACAGTAATTCCTTAATAATTCCTAGTATCCAGATGAGGGTGTCCCTGCTTTCTCTGCTGACTATAGTTACTTCCATATTTATTTATACATAAGAAAAGCGTCGGGAAACATAGCAATACTCCAAAGTTATCGATTTATTTTGGAAAACAAAACATTTGATTAGTGTGATGATACGACATTAACCGAAGCTTTTAGTAAGTGGACCAATTAAGACAGTCTGTTGAGCCGCAGAAAGGTGGGGCCCAGGAGTTAACACTCACCCTGCCACCACATATAGGTGCATGCATATAACTGAATACATAAACGAAAGAGCTACCCGATTTTATTGTGTTTATTTAACTTTTATGATTATTGAACACAAATTTGTAACTCATTTCTACACTTTGCAAAATATGTATATTTTAATTTGACCCATTTTACAGCCTCACGTAACTACTATGATGATGCATCCCAGCAAAGATCAAGCACATAAGGTACGAGACCCTTTTGTCCTCAGCTGTTTGTCATTTTATTTTATGAAAGAATACGAGGGAATCCTCATCTGATAACGTTTGTGGGAAAAGTTTAATGTTGTACTGGATTCAAGATAATTAATACCAACAATATTAATGCAGTTAACTGTGTGAGAGGTTTTATTTTATGCTGGAGTTTTGATAAATCTAACTATAGTAATGGCTATATTAATAATAATGAGAAAATCAATTGGTGAAACGAGGTGACTCGAACCGGTGATCAAGGTACTCCCAGTCACCCACTATGTAGGAGTAAATTCGTTGTGTCGGAGGAGGCAGCCAGCCATTCAGTACATGTTAGGCTTATCGAGGTCCCCCACAGAGTCGAATTATCGACCCTCCCCAGTTGGAACCCGCCCCAATCATATTTTTGTCCCGCCCGGGATTTGAATCCGGAATTCTCGATCGTGAGTCGAAAACAAATCCAACTGATCAATCGGGACCTTCGTTAATTGCGTGACTTGGTATAATTATGAGGATATAAGTAAGGAAATTAACAGTTGTTAAATTTCAGTCATATTTCATTGACTAGTTTTACATGAAAATGGCTCCAATTGGTACAAGTTTCCAAGTATTTTTCAAAAACTTTTCACAATTTTCAAAAATTACCATCAAACACAAGTGTCAACTGAAATCATTTTTATGACACTCAGCTATCACAATAGCATCTAATAAATTTTTAAACCTTTTAGTTTTATCCAAAATATGTTTAATTTTACTAATAAAAATATTTTCAAGTCACCCCAAAATTATACCACGAAATGATATATATAAATATTTATAAAATAAATAAATGAAATTATGAAACAAATTGAGAGAACAATTTGTAGAGGCAGAAACTCTACATATAAGATGAAAGTTTCATGAAAATTGAACAATAAATGAAAGAAGACTTACAGCTTTTAGTTGTAAATTACTTACTTAAACAAAATGTTGTCAAAGATTCTGCCACCTGTGGCTGAGGTTGACGTCGACCGATTGCCTACACAATTGGCACCCTTACAGATAGGCATACGTTCAGTAAAGTGTATAAGTTCCATGCAAATCGCCTGATAAAAAAGGAGAGAAAAACAATATATTTAGATAAAACTAAGAGGTATAATCCCTTATTAGATGGCACTGTGATAGTTGTGTCATAGAAGTTATTTCAGTTGACACTTGTGTTTGATGTTAATTTTTGAACATATGAAAATTCTTTGAAAAATAAGTTTATATTTGTTTTACAAACTTTCTATTTAAGTTGCGATGCTGAAAGTTGGACCAGTTGGAGCCCATTTCATATACAACTAGTCACAAAGTTTGATAGACATGGAGCAACTTTTAATTTTAATTTAATTTCCTTACTTATTTCCTTGGCATAAGTTACACAGCCTGCATAGGATTCCTCTGACTCCCAGGTTGTCTGGAGACTTCTATTGAAGCCAGGCCATTACATATAACCCCCCCCCCCCAAGCATTCTGTGGTAGGTAAAGTAGTTCATCAACAGTTTGCTCCAGCTTCAGATATCACACTAACGTGATATGTCAGTGAAAAAATCAATTGGAGCACTGACGTGACTCGATCCGGAAATCAAGGTACTCCCAGCCGAGCATTTTAGCCCTTTACCACGACTTAAAATAAGTAATACAACCTGGGATTCCTATGGATCCAAAGGAATTGTGGCAGCTTCTTCTGAAGCCAGTACAAATTGCGCAGCCAGGAGTACCTTGATCGCCAGTTCGAGTCATCTTATTGCTTCAGCTGATTTTCTCATTCATATATATAACGTGATTTCTTTGTGAATAATAATAATACTAATGTAACGTAAGTTTACGTGTATGTTTTTTTTGCAGGGATATTCCTGCACGGGGCGGGCTGGCCCACTAAGTGTTACTTGTTTCTTGTGCGGAGTATGAGTATTTATGACTCGTATCGTCGCTTCAGTAAGATTTTGCCATATGTTTAACAACTTCTGCTCTGTTGAATCTAAGTTGAAATCGTAATGGGTTTGTAACTGTGCACTGTGTTAGATAATGTTCCAGTGGCCTGTCGGGCATTTCTCCACAGTGTTGACATTTCCTCTCATCTTCCGGAACCTGTAAGCCTATTTCCCATGCACATGGGTATCCAAGCCTGATGGATGTAAGTGTACTTCTGTTGTTCTACTGCTCCCTTCCATCAAACTAAGTGGTTCGTAGTTGGTTGAATTCTTGTACCAACCCGCTGATCCTCATGTTGCAACTGCTTTGTTGTGGTCACTGTACATCTTTTGCATTGCTCTGTTTCTAATTACTATCTTAATTTGTGATAGACTCTGTGGTATGTAAATGTCTACATTTCTTCTCTTAGTTGCAAGTTTTGCAGCTTCGTCTGCAATGTCATTTCCTATTATTCCCATATGACTTGGCACCCAGTTGATAAGTACCCGACGGCCTTGTCGTTTGAGTGTTTGCATTAATGATATGACATTTGTGATCAGATGGATGTTATCACATATGTGTTCTTGTTGCAAGGTTTCAATGGCAGTTCTCGAATCTGTATGTATGATAACATGTTGTCGGTGTTCAGCAAGAGCATGTTCCAAAGCCTTTTGAATGGCTAGCATCTCTGTTTGTAAAGTCGAACACCCATTTGAGAGTCTTCAACTATTTAGTGTTTCTTGCTTTAACTGCAGTTCCGGTTTCTTGTCCCTGTTGGTCTACTGATCCATCTGTGAAGTAAGTGAAGCTGTCGGAGGCCAAGTTTGTTTCTATATGCATCTGTGCAATGTTACGGAGCAGATGAGGATTTGTCTGGTTCTTTTTTCCTTCAAGAACCATAATCTTAAAGTTTGCTGGCGGAGATTCCCAAGGGGCTTGCATAACAAAGTCTGCATGTATTTCGTCGAAACCCTTCTCAGTGATTGTGTTTGTTATATCGAATGTAGTGATGGTGTTTATCGCACAATGGGTTCACCTGTTGCTATTGGAGGCTCTTCTGTCCAGAGTTAGTGCTCCAGTGATTATATCTTTAAGTGAACTGATTCTAGGTCTAGTCAATATCTTGGTCAGCATGCAAGCAGTAATCCCTTTTACCCTTATTTCAATCGATGTTAGCTTGGTTTCTAGTCTTAGGTTCAGTATTTTAGTCCATCTGGGAGCTCCTGTTATGATTCGCAATGCATTGTTTTGAATAACCTCAACGTTTGCCCACTGACCAGGAGAAAGAGTGAGTAGGGCAGGCACGAACGGCGTGTATGTAAAACATTCTTAACACTTTGTGTCCCACTCCTAGACGGGGCCCTGTGATTGCTCTCATTATATTTAGTCGTGATTTTGCTTTCTCCTTCAGATATTGAATTTGCTTGTTGAATGTCATTTTAGAATCTATCCACACTCCGAGATATTGATATTGTGTAACCCACTGAAGGTTAATGTCTTGAATGCGTAGGTGCCTGTCTGGAGTGTTGCCGCCTAGTCTCATTGCCCTAGACTTCTGTGCAGATATTTTTAGCCCTAAAACACTGCATTCAGATGTTACTTTATCTAATGTACCTTGTGCTTTATTTAGAAGTGAAGGACCTGTAATGACTAATGCTATATCATCAGCATAGCTTAGCAATTTAACCCCTTCTGTAAATGTCATGGTAACAAGGTTTTCCATAAGGATGTTAAAAAGACTAGGACTGAGGACTCCTCCTTGTGGAGTCCCATTCTCATGCAAGTGGTAGTCCGACACATGTCCTTGCAACTTTACTCTGGCATACCTGTGACTTAAGTAATCTTGAATCCATGCTAGCATATTTCCCCTTTCACCTTTTGTAACTAAGGTGTGTAAAATTGCTTGCGGGCTTGCAAGTTCGAATGCTTTTTCTAGATCAAGGAAGATCACTATAGCTGGACCCGAGTTAACTCTTCCTAGTAATGTTGCTATGCAGTTGGCAGTACCTACTCCTCTAGTGAAGCCAAATATGTGTTTATGAAGGTCTCCAGTCTTCCACAGTAGCCTATTTAAGACCATCCGTTCTGCAGTTTTACTAATGCATGATGTTAATGAAATGGGTCTGTAATCGCCAGGTTCTTTTGGCTTAGGAATCGGTATGATGTCTGCTCTCTTCCAAGAGGTCGGTAGTTTGCCTTGCTGCCAAGATGCATTGATGACGTCCAATATCCCTTGTTCTCCAGCAGGACTTGCATGTGCGACCATTGAGTATGTAATGTTATCAGCACCTGGTGCAGTGTCCTTGCCACCTTTTTTTGGCTCTGATTAGTTCTTGTTTGGTGAAGGGACAGTCACATTCGTCATTTATAGATATGTTCTCATGAATGACTGTCAACCTATCTTGTTTTAATTGTTCTCGCTGCCTTCGGACCATTGCAGGAAGCTGATATGAAACTGTTCTTTCTGCAAATTGGAGAGCAAGTCTCTCAGCCTCCTGCAATGGTTGAATACATGCCTGTGGTCGGGCTGGTCGACCTGATATAGTTTTAATCTGACCCCTTATCTTGCCAAGATATTGTTCATTTAGAGTTTGACACCACTTACACCATCTTGCCTCCTTTACTTCTCTAGAAACTCGTCTTGCTTCAGATATCACCGCTCTTAACAGAGTTCTTCCTTCTGGTGTGGGGTTTCTCTTTAGATGTTTTCTGAAGATGTTGACTCTGTGGTTTTGTTCTTTAACTTCATTACTATAGAACCAATAGTTCTTTCGTTTTGTGTTTCCTGGGATAATGATTGGAATAGCTTTGTTTGCAGCAGCTGCAATAGCTTCCTGCAGATTGGTCTCGTGTGTTCAAATCCTCAGGTGGCGTGTATGTTGCATACCATTTTTCTAGTTCCTCTTGGTATATATTCCAATTGACCTTTTTTTAATTCCACCTAGGTTGTGCAGGTGGTGTAGGAAGTCGTTCTATGTTTAGTGTTGTGACAATAGTATAGTGGTCACTGGTGATCACTGGGTCTACTTCCCACTTCGCCTGATACTTGGGTGCTGTTGAGA